CTGAAAGGGAGAGGAGTTTCATTTAGGACGGTTGGGTAGGGAAGGGCTGGTTTTAGACCAGCACTTTCACATGCCCTTACGAATTTTTCAAATCCCTCTTAAAAGGAAGTCCCTAACCATGGTGTGGGTACCCTGCAGCCTCCTGCTGCTGCTCAGCCCACTGGCCTGGGACAGCCAGGTCGCACGGGAGGGAGGCTTGCACGTGGAACCTTTTTTTTTTTTTTTTTCTTTTTGGAACATTTATTTATTTATTTTCTTTTTAAAGGCAAAAATTCTGAGCAAGCTGTCACACAGATTTGTTTGAAGTACCGTGAAATCATAAATGCAAGATTGTTGTAAAGAGGGTGGACCTGGTAATGGATATGTATAAGCCTCCGGCTCTGTAGGTTCCTATTGTTACCGTGTTTGGGGGCGCAGCTGAGGGGAGGGACAGGGTGCCGATGTCTTTTTCTTTAAGCGTGTTAATATTGATTTTTAGAAGCTCTGTGTTCCAACAATATAAATGCAAATGCCTTGTAATTGGGAGCCGCGTGCAGAATTTCTCAACAGAAAACATGTTCAACTTTTCATGACAATGAAAGGAAAATAAAAAGCCGCTTATTTATTGCTGGTGGTTTGAATCCTGGATTTCCTTTCAAGTTACTTTGCAGTGCTAAATAAAATACCTAATTGCAGTGCTCACAAAATTCAAATGGGTACATTTGTTCTTCTGGTAGCTTGCGGCTATTTGCAGCCTCTGGACACCCTCAGCATTATTTCAGCAAATCCATAACTTCTGGTTGTGCTGTAAGGAAAAGCTGGGGGTGGGGGGAAGACTTAGAAGCCCCAAATGCTGCTGGCACAAATCACCGCTGAAGCTGGAACGTGTACTCAGCGTTGGAAATGGAAATGGGTGAGGATCTCAAGGTGGCACTTATGGACGATCAGACTCTGATAAAAGAAAGGAAGAGTCGGCGAACCTCTTCCTTTTAATTCCCTCGTGCTGTTCACCTCCACCTTTCCCACCTGGGAAGAAGCAGCGAAGGTCTTTGACAGTGGAGATGGAGCTGAGCCTGTTGAGCTCACCGGGCTGCTGTGAAATGTGAGAGAGCGCCCGGCTGCCTTCCCGCCTCGCCGGCTGTTGGGGGGTTGTGTGTGTGTGTGTGTGTGTGTGTGTCTAAGAAATCACCATTTCATAATAATTACTAATGAAATTCTAGATCTGTAATAACATTTTGGATATCTAAAACAAACCATATGCTTGTAAAAAAGAAGAAAAAAAAAAAGAGAGAGAGGAAAAAATCTGGAAACAGATCAACTTTAAACCATAAATTCTTGGAATAGAGGCCTCTGTTGGTTTTTTTTTTCCCCTTTCTGTTTATATTTGATAGATATTTTTGTTTCTGCAGGAATGTCAACTCTTAATTTCATGATGTATCATGGGCTTAAGAAAATTGAATTTAATAAAGGCAAAAGATGAATGGCACCTTTAAAGGTCCCAACACTTGTCTTTATTAGCAGGACAAACTGCAGGGTCTCCAAACACTGCTTCTCTCCAAATGAAAGTTTAAATGAAAAGTACAGCAGTGTCACAGGTTAAATTTCATTGCAGGACTGGCTAACGTCGTTAGTGAGGAGTGGGGCTGATTTCATGGGGCTGGTATCTGTTGCCTTAGATACCAGTGGAGCAAACACTGCCAGAGACTGGAAAAAATCTCCGCTATAGGAAGCGTGCAGATAAACAGCCTTTTGGGAAAGGTCCTTTACCACTTGCTTCAAAAACTGACTAAATAAGCCCAAAAGAGCGGCTGCGCTTTCTCCTGAGACACTCAAGTCGCTCCTGGGGTTCCAGCCCCGCTCCTGGCCGTGCGCTTCCCACCCCCAGGCCTGCGGTAATTCTCAATACTGTTAAATTTTCCCCTTTTTTTTTTTTTTTTTTTAGTACGGGTTTTTATTTCCTCCGTCCGTCTTAATCCGACCCTCCTGGAAGTGCTTTTTGCCTTTGGTTGTGGAAGGCGAGCGAGCGACGCCTTTGTGTATCAGATCAGCGGCAGGGCTGTCTTTCAGTCTCGCTTTGCATCCAGCCACTTGATGGCCCCGGAGGATGTTTCTGGTCCCTTAGGGACTGATCTCGGCGTGGCAACGCAGCCCTGCTGTGAAATCCAGCCGGTGCGTGTCCCTCTCCGGGAGAGGGAACGCTCGTCTTGCCCTGCCGTGGGCTTGCCCGCTTCCACTGTCACCCCCTGGGTGGGATGGAGACCTAAGGGGCAACGAGTCGCCTCAACCCACTTTGAAAGATGGGGTGGTCACATCCTGGGGTTAAGGCTGGCTCACTTATGCCGTCCTGTCCGTTGCCTTGAAACTTTTCAGTCCATTTTTTTTCTGAACAGAAATTTGCTGCTTTCAGAACCTGTCTGTGGTAGTTGTTTTGAAGGGAGAATCAGCTGTGTCTGGCGTTTCTTCCGCAGATTTTCTCGTGTTGTCCTGGGCGGCTGAAGCTGGTGAGTTTGGCTGCACCACAACAGGCAGTCAGGAGCGATGCTCAGGTGTTTTGCCTCTGTGTCCTCCTCCCCTTCCAGCCCACAGGTGGAGTTTTGTCTCTTTCCTTGGGAAACTTGGTGACTCCCGGTGGGGTGATACGGCCGTGGGGAAGGATGTGCCCAACACTCTGCTCCGCTCTGCTGGCAGAGCACGCACCGAGTGTGGCACAGCCGACTGTGTGTCCTCTGCAGCTTGACTGCTTGGTGGCGACACCTGGGCACTTCAGGTTAACGCTTATTTTATTTTAATTTTTTTTCTAACTTTATTTTAATTTTTTTCTAACTATCCATCTCGGTGGCATGTGCTCCCCAAGTGCCCTGGTCTGGGCTGTGTGCCTACCGCTCCTGGGAGCCGCTCTGCTGCGGCCACAGGCTCTGACCACCGTGGAAATCATGCGTTTCTCCTGGCTATTTAAATTATTTGTTGTTTCCATCTACCCACCTATCCTCTTGCCCTCCCTCTGCCTGCCGGGGTGGTGATGTCATCAGCTCATGTGTATGACCTCACGATAATTTCCGCCTGCAGGTCGTGGGGTTTGCAGCCAGGGTCCAAAAGCTGTGTTAGTTCCTCTGCAGCGGCTGCATTTTCCACATGCTAATTTTACTCTCAGGAGTTGGATTTTTTTTTTTTATTTTTTATTATTTCTTATTTGTCTCTTCCAGATGTTTTCAGGCAATTTTTTTTGTTGTTAAACTAATTCCATTCATGTTTTAAAAATTTATGAAAGCGCTAATAAAAATGTCAAAGTGGTAAAAATGTTAGCTTTTGCTCTGCTTTGATTAAATTTTGCAAACTGTTTTTGAATATTAAAAAGCAATATTTTTTTTATTCTCTCTCCCTCTCTCTGTTTCTCTCCAGAAGTGATTTGAGAGGCTTGTTGCATGGATATCACTCAGCGGGCTCATTTGCACTCCAGAACCTTGGTGCCATGCATCTCTATTAAATAACATAGACAAATTATTCTTTAAAGACACCAAACAAATTGTCACTTCTGCTCTTACATTAAACTGGAAGGAGGAGAGGGAGTGGAGAAGGAGGGGGGTGAACACAAAGGATTTTATCGCTTTATTCAGTGGGTGGCTTTTTTAATTTCATGTATATTTTTTAATAATTGAGAAATCCATCGCAACTGGATTTGTTTAAACTTTTTATTAACAGGTCCATGTAAATTTTTGATAGCTGATTATTCAAATAATTGAACATTCTTCTGATGAAGAACGTTTTTATTTCTCTATCAGCATAAATTGGCTGCAAAGAGGAAAACGAAGCAGGGCTTGCTACTGTGCTGTATTCCGTAGGGATGGGTTTTGGTGGGGGCTTCCAGCTCCTCTCCTCACTCTGTTGGAGGAGAGCAGTGCTCCTGATAACTTTGGTTTCAGCCTCTCCTGGGAAAGGAGATGCTTTGTGCAGTAGCTCCCGTTGTCTGTCTGGTGGTGTCCTCCAAAGACAGCAGGGTGGAGAGGATGGGATGGGGTTTGGGGAGGGCACAGCCCCTGGGGTGTCCCTGCTAAACAGATGTGAGCCCGTGTCAAGTGCATCTCCACGTTCCCTGGGTGGTGCCAGACTGTCTTCCTGAGGTTCGGCTGAGGCAGCGGTGGGCACGGTTGCAGCTTTGAGCACAGAAGCACCCCTGCTGCCCGCCCCAGCTGCGATGAGCGTCAGCGCCGTCCTCCTCTGCGCTCACAGCGTTGGATGTGCTCTGCGCTCCGGCACCACTTTCCCCCTCCATAGTGCAGAGCTTCATGTCAGGCTTGTTTTTGTTTGGGACTGTCAGGCCCCTCTTTTTATAGCCGGCTTGCTAATAGGGATCATTTCCAGCTTCATTTTTTGTTTGTTTCAAATGAACAGCTGCTTTTCTTTTTGCCCCATTCAGGAAATCATCGAATTCCCTATCCTGAAGCTGAATGGCAGGACGATGGAGATCGAATCCACCTTTCACATGTATGTTCAGCCTGTGGTGCATCCCCAGCTTACGCCCTTCTGTACAGAGGTAAAGTGCCAAGGTTCCCCGGTGCTCCAAGAGTCTCCCTGGGAAGCAAGTTTCCATTGCACCAGGGGCTGGGGTCGCCTCTTCACGGTGCGGCTGCAGGGCAGCGTGTCATGCCAGCCTTGAGTTAAGGACAAGGGGAATCATTTTTTGTCATTGCAGTAGCGTGTGAAGACCTCAGTTTGGATTCATAAATAACTCTAGCTATGATCTGCTAACTAAGATCAGTTGTATTTACGACTAACGAACGTCTGACTGAGTGACCACAAAATAAAAGCACTCATGTTAGCTGATGCTCAAAATCCTGTAGCTTCTCTGTAAGCTCTTCGTGATTGTGTTGCGCTGCTCTTTGGTGGGGAAGGTCAAATTGAGCATGGTCCAAAGGAAAAAAGTGTCATATGACTGCATGGTTCAGAGGCACTAAATGATTCTGCCGTGGGCCTGCCTGGTTGGGATTTGATGAGTCCTTCAGAGTGCTAGGGTAACCCATGTCTGTATTTTTAAGACTTTCTTTTTGATGTCGTGCTTGTGGCGCACTCGAAATGATTGCTGGAGAAGTAGCCTCTTGTTACTTGGTTACTCTCATTGCCGAGGACAGCTGCTCTCGAGCTGCGGCCACCTTTCCCCAGATACAGACGAGAGGATGAAGGTGGTAAATGTGATCCCTGATGGTTCAAAGGAATAGGGGGGCAGGGGTTCCTTTGTGGTTTTTTGTTTGTTTGTTTGTTTGTTCTCTTGATTCAGCACAAAAAGTTAATTGTTTCTGCAAGTGCATTCTTCCTCCCTGCTGTAGCCATCAAAACAAAGTTTCTATGTCCTTTTGCTTTGGGCTTTTTTCCTTTTACTCCACTATTTCGATGCTGGCCAGCTCAGTGACTAAAGTACTGACTGAAGGGAATCTGGGTATCCAAGTTCTTCGTTCTGTCCCGGTCTTATCCAGAATCATCGAAACCGTGGTGTGTTTTCCCCGACCTCCGTGGCTGCAGGTTTAGGTCCTTGAAGCGCTTGTTCCGTGTGTACTAACTTGATGAGAAATGACTCCTCTGTGTTAGGTGGAGTTCCCTCCAGGACCAACCAGCCCCTACTATATTTCTACATTGTAAAAACAAATACTTTTCTTTTTTTTCATTCTCTTGTAACTAAAAACCAGCTGAAGGTATTTTATTTAAATGTATTAAAAAAAAAAAAAAGACTAAGCACAGAAAGCATTATTCCCAGGTGAGGTGCTTTCAGAAAGCTATAAATGTGTGAAAACAGAGGGATATAATGGAAACGGTTTTGCAATCTTAATACTAGAGGACTGGACAACTACTTTGGCTGTCCATATCCCCATGAGACTTGCTGGACATATGCTCATACAAATGTGATAAATCTCACAGCTTGCACCTGATCTTTGCTAAGAGCAGCGTCACTTCTAGAGTAGAGCCCAAAACGTCCATTTTGTATGTCATCTAAATTCTAGAGAGAAGTCATCTTGCTTATTAACTCCCACCAGAATCCCTTTTTGTGGAAATTCCTCTGTTGTGTCCTTCCCTGCCCTGCTGCTAAAGGTTGCAGCTCTGTTGTTGCACGAGAATCTGCCTGACTTGCTTGGTGGGGCTGTCCTCGCCGAACGGAGCCTCCAGCCTGCTACAGCGTGAGGACATCGAGAGGTTCTCTGGATGCCGAGCTTGTGACCGAATCATTCAGCCCATCTAATGCTCCCACACCGTAGTGCTGGTTTCTCTCTCTTCTCTTGCTCAGGGGAGCCTGGAGCAGTTGTTTGTGTCTCTGCAGGTTTGTGTCTCCTACGTGGAGCCCCCGAGCGAGCGAGGCTGTGTGTGTGCGCGCCAGCAGGAGTCCCCAGGACAGGCATGGGTGTCCCAGCGGCAGGTTCTGCCGCTGACTTCGGTCTGGTGTCTTGTATCCAGAGTTGGATAAAACTGGGCAGTGCTGAGGTCAGTGGGCAAAATGATCGCAGAACCCACACCGGTGTCTTATTGGCGGCACAAAATGGTCCAACTTGCCAGGTTTGGCAAGTTCTCTTTTATTAACAGCATGGGTTAGGGAGCTGGTTTTAATCCTAGCCTGGAAGCCACCGGCTCGTGGGCAGTCTCCTGCTGCACCCGTGCTGCTCACTGCACAGCATGGCCCCTGTCTCTCCTGCTTGGTGGTCCCCTTGCCTGTTGCAGGGACTGCCATGAGGTCCAGGGAGTGGGATTGTGCTGGAGGGGTAACTGGGCTTGTCCCTGGGTCCCATATCTGGGGTTTACCCTGAAACCCTGCCCGAAGAGCCACAGGTGAGCTGGTTGTACTGAGGAACTTACTAAACAGTTGCAAAAATACCCTTTCGTATTTGCAGTGACTTTTTTTGTGGAGGCTGTAGTGGCTGTGTAGAGACCTGTGGGGTTGGTGGCTCCTGTTAGGAGGTGCAGGGGTCAGCCCCATGCCGCTGGTGTAGGTTCCCCTGAGTCCCCAGGGACACAGCCGGGGCACGCTGTGTGTCCAGCTCCTGCGGAGCCACTGCTTGCACAGCTCCAGCGTTTGCCATTGACTTTCAGCCGGTTTATATTTTCTGAAAAATACCCATTTTGCTAAATGCCAGTAAAGGGCTTTGTCTAGGCACCTCTACTTACAAAGGGTGAGATTTATTGGCCTCTTTGTCTACAAAGAAAGACCAAGCCTGATTATCAGATTGTACACCAGAGACAAGTGCTTAGGTAATCAGCAAACTGTCTTGGAGTAGAAATACGATGGTTTCCCAGATAAACTCTGTAGGAAAAGCAGTGGTGTTGACATTACACGGGAGCCGCTCTGCTGTGCTGCTGCTTTCCTCCCGGCTCGCTGCCTTTGCCAGGAAGCAATAGGACTGCTTGGTATAGGCTGTGTGTGGGAGGATTACTGGTGGTGTTCAGTGTTACTTCTTGGGTCTGGAGTACCTCTCACATCCCTCTTCCTTCTTGAAGAATTGAGCACAGCACAGGAAGGGTGTCTGCAAGGGTGGAGAGCTCGTGGTAACCCTCAAGGCATCCCTTTGCTTAGCTTTCAGGGTGTCTGTGCTCTCCCCTGGCTACAGGAGGTTCCTCCAACTCCCCACACCAATGGCCAGGAGCATGTCTTCCAGTGCTGGCTCACTCTGTAGCCCTTGTCTGGTCCCCTTTCTCTTGACCTGCTTCTGTAAAACAACAGGTCAAGAGGCTTGGTTATGATGAGGGTGTGCTGAACATTTAGACAGAGAAGGTGGAAAGTGCTTGCAAGTGTGGTTAAAAGCTGTTGTTAGGTATGTAAAGCTCATCATGCCCTTTTGGAAGATGCAAGTGGTTTGTCTGATGCCCAAGAAAGTTCATGCCAGGAGCTTAAGTGAAAGATTCCCTCTACACAGGTGCTTGTACAGGCTTTTTCATGGTACTTTGCTCTCTTTTTATGATTAATTTTTATTGATTTTTTTTTCCTGAAGGAACAGACAATAAAAGTACAAAAAGATAAATGCCTTATAGCTTGTTGATGTTCCCAAGTACCATGTGCTTCTCAGGATAGCCAGTGAAACTTTACAATTGTGCAGTTTTATGTTTTTATACTTTGTCAAAGCGGCAAGACCAGATAACCCGTGCAGAGACCCAGTGCAGTAGGTTGGGTGTTACACGTGGACGTAACTGAAAACAGAAAGGATCCGAAAGGGTGAGAGTAATTCTGGTCCCTTTTGAGCACTCTCTGGCCTGTACTGAAATGTCCCCATGGAGAAGGTATATCCCTTTGTATTCGTGTGTACGATTTGATTTCTGCAGCGTGAATCTTGCATGTGTGTGTGCTTGGTGACGTGTTCTTGTACGGCTGAGTTGGTACTTTGCTTGGCCTGGCAGGGGAGGAGGGAAGGGGTCTTGGGCGAGATCAAGCAGAGACTCTTTGGTGGGACTGTGAGCCCCTGTCCCTTCCTGTGCCTTCCTGTCCCTCCCTCCCCCTGATGGGAAATGTCTGGATAATGCCATTTCACCCCATCTGACCACGGCCATCAGGGGTGCAGCGCTCAACAGATGCAGCCGTGAAGATACCCGGAGCAGTAGAAGCCATTACATCGGTGCTGGCTGTGATACCAAGAGGTTGCCTGTCATCCTTTCCCAAAAAGCTCATCTTTCAGCCACTTCCAGAGGTTTGATTTGAGTTGCCCTCTGAGCTTTGCAGTAGGCGAGCTGTCCACCTCTGCCGGGCGAATGCACGGAGAGAAAGATGGCAAGAAAAGCAAAAAACAAGCCAGTGAGCTTCAAAAACTGCTCTAAAGAGCTGTGCATTAATCTCTCAAATCTATTTGCTTCTCAGAGTATGGGAAGGCTGTAGGTAGCAGCTGTTACCCAATTAAAATACAGATTAATATAAAAACAGTTTCTGGAATATAAAAGAGTGTCTGTGTCCCTCCACTTCCTTAAAATTCCACCTCATAATGACTTGATGAACTTGAGAAACCCACCTAGAGGAACTCTGCATTCTTAAAATTAAAATACTTCCCCTAAAAGGTATCCATTACAATTCCATGGAAGTCACTGTGAGAAAATAATCTTTCCACTTACAGCTTATTCAGTGAGTCAGGTATTTGGTATTCATTAAATGTAATTACAGTTTAATTGGAGTTTAATCTCTTTTTTTTTTTTTTTCCTCCTTCTTCCGAGTTCAGTGCTGTAAGCCAAGCAGCCAAAGAAACAAAGAGATAGAAACCATTGAGCTTCTTTCGGTTGCCACACATTTAATAAAGCAGAGCTGCGTGATTTGTAAGAGGACTTGTGTTTTACGAGTAGGTTGAGCTGGTCTGCGTGGAAGAGTTATTCCTGGGTGATGGGGGGACTGTCAGCACCTCTCCGCTGGATGCTGCGGCTCCTGGATGCTTGGATGCGTGTGCAGGCAGCAGGGCACGCTCCTAGGCTGTGTTCGACCTTTATTTTATGAAAACGTGTGAGATGCGTAACTTCAGGAAAGTGCCATGTGAAGTGAAATCCTGTGGTGTGCACTTGTTTTAATAATGATTTTTTTAATTACTTGGGCACATTGATGGCAAGCTACTGACCTCCAATATTCAATATGTTAAAAGACGGTTTTGTCAGTTGGAAGGCAGACAGAAAAATTATCTGTTTTCCATGTGCCTCAAGCTGTCCTGGGCAGACACAGGCAGAGGCCCATGAGACTGCATCTTTTTATGTGTGTGTCTAGCTTTAAATAGCCAAGCAGTCCGGGTGCGGTCAGTAGGAGCTTTTCCTAAGGAATCTCCTGAAAACCTGAGTAGTCCAGGATTCTGGAAGGTGGTGGTTTTCTTCAGATTTCATTCAGTTGTTTTAAATACAGTGCCAAAATGCAGAGGGATGCTGTGATGGACTATGGGAAAGCACATGTGCTGTCTGCCCAGCGCAGGGGAGGATGGCTGGGTCCACTCTGGGTCTCACTTACCACTGTTGTCTATTCTGTTCATCTACCACTGCAATTTTGGTGTCACTGTGGTAGCAGGTGAATGACCAGAGACCCCAGTAGTTACCACTGCCTGTGTAAGTCAGGGCAACATCAAAACTGGTGAAACGTATATTGAAAAAGGGCAGCATTTTGGGCATTGTGCCGGTACGTGAAGTGGAGGGCACCACTGCTTCCCAAGTGCATCCTGCCCCATTGGGAGTTCGCTGTTTTATAGTGTGGGTAGGAGCCCCCCTACCTTTCTGGTTTTGGGATGAAGCTGTGCCCTTGCCCGTGGCTGGGGAGCTGCCAGGGTCGCTCTGCTGTGGCTGGCTCCTCAGCGATGTCTGTGTGGGTCACAGGAGCATGTTTTGGTTGCAGCGAGATGGACAGGAGAGGAGACCTCTCTAATGATCTTTCTGAGTGCTGCTCTGATGCCTGCTTTCTGTTTGTCTCTCGTTTCAGCTGACTGGGATTATTCAAGGCATGGTGGATGGGCAGCCGAGCCTCCAGCAAGTGCTTGAGGTAAGCAGAGTAACCTTTAGTTCCCGAACTCTGACCTCTGGTCCTGTCGTCCCCCTTGCTGAAAATCGAACCGCGTAATTTGACTATGATTACAGCTTCATTAGAATAACATTTGCTGTCACGTTGGTGACACGCTGCTGAGAGTATTGAACCATTGATCTGTCATCTCCAGCTGTTCATGTCAAGGGTGCTGACAAGATATCCAAACTCCTGCCAGTAGATAGGAGAAGAGGCGATTCTTGCTTGAGCCAATTTTAAAGCACCAAGACATCACTCAAGACCACTGCTCCAGGAGCTTCTGCCTTCGTTTTTCTTTCCCCTCCCTTAGCACTTTATTAAAATAATTTTTTCTACCTTTTTAAATGCTCAATAATACATCTAGGATAGGGAGAAAATGCCTCTAAAATCTAATCTGGAGGATGTGCGAATGCAGATATAGCCCTAATAATGCCATCTGCTTAATGTTGAATTCCTACAGCGTTTAGGGCTTAATTAGCTTGGAAGTATTTCTCCATCAATAGCTTTTGTTGGTAGTCAAATAGTGAAGGAAACCTCCTCAAGCAGAGCCCGCTCGGGCTGCAGGTTGCTGTTCGATGCATTGTCTCTGTCAGGATTTCCACTGCTGTGTTACCTAATTGTTCCTAATCAGAATAATTGCAACAATTGCTTATGTGAGGAAATCAAATTAAAGGCTTTAAAATCCTCCATGGAGACAGCAGTTGATGGGTGCTCACATCGGGGAGTTTAGAAAGGCTACCGCTGCTGTCCCTCGCTCCGGGGAGCCTTGTGCGGGGCTGGCTGGAGGATCCCGGCAGCCCAAGGGAGGCAGAAGTGTAGCTGAGAGGCTGGATGGGATGCTGCTTTGGGGGGAGCTTTACTCCGGAGGGCTGTTGTACAGTCGGTCGCGGAAAGAAGCACCGTCCTCTGCCGCAAAAGCTGCAGCAGTGACAGGAGGCCGAAGACGGTGTTCTGCAGAGGTGACATCTCTCATCCGTGCAAAGCCCCAACTCTCCCTGGTGCTCTCCGGAGAGCACGTAGCAGCGGTGCGTGTCCCTGAGCATATGGATGCTTGTGCCTGCTTCCCCTGGAGGGAGAGCCCTCTTTGCCTGGATGGGTGAACGTACATTGCCACTGGCGTATTACAGAGAACGGTTCATTCTGTTTCTACGGGAGCTTCTTAGAATGTGGAAACATTTCTGTAGAATTTTTAATATTTTTTTTTTTATTTGGACTGAAAAGGTGTTCATACAGCAGCGTGTTTCTAGGCTAAAATGAGATTTGGGTCAGGCAGCTTCTGGGGCACGATACTTTGTTCAGGAGCGGAAGGTGTGGAGAGAGGGAAAAGAGGAGGGATTTCTCTTGCTGAAGCACTGGAAATGCTGCTAGTGAGGCTGCATAATAGCAGCTGATTGCCTGTCACCTGCCACCGGAAGATTTTAGGCATGTCATTTGCTAGTTCTAGCTGGAATAAATGTCTATGCAGGGGTTTTAGTCAAGGTTAGTGCCTCCTGGTTAGTCCCTGAGGTGGATGTGCATCCTTCAGATTAACGTGGCCCATTTCTGAAGTGGATCCAGAACGTTTGTCCCTATGGGAAGTTGATCAGAAATAGCGGATTCACTTTAAATCCACACTGTATCCTGAACAAGCACCTCCTCAGAACTGTAAGGAGGAAAGAGACCCAGTCTGGAGAGGAAGGGGATGCGTGGCTGTGCTTGTGACTGCTGCACAGTGCCTGTATGTGCCCAGCCCTTCCAGTTCTTCCCTCTCCCATATCCCCTTGGAGCTGTGTGAATTGGGGCATGTGAGAAATGCTACAGGTGAGAGATGCCGTCCCAGGATGCCCGTGTTCTCTCCTCACTGCAGGGGACACGAGTTACGCTCACTATGAGCCCATTTGGTACTGGAATGGGAAAAGTGGAGGAGCAATGCCAGGTAACGGCACAGTTGTATCGTCCTCTTAACGCTGCACAACTTCCATCCCTCCATGAGCAGAGCTGCTGCGGTGTCTGATAAGATCATCTCTGCTCTGGTTGCCTGATGTCTCCTATCAGAAATCTTCAAAGGTCCAAACGTGCTGTTGTTGAGATGGCAAGCAAAGAGCAAAGAGAGAGAGGGAGAGGGTGGATAAGATCACAATTTTCTTCTCTCTTGATTGCAAGCAGCTTATCTGAGTTTAACTGTTGTGGCTCGGCCTCTCTCTGCAAAACTCATCCCCTTTTCTTGCCTTCCTTTCAGAGGGTTGACGAGTGGATGGCGAAGGAAGGCCTCTTAGATCCCAGCGTCAAGTCGATTTTTGTGACCTGTGGAGACTGGGATTTGAAAGTGATGTGAGTATGGAAGGGGAGGGAGATTTTTCTGGGCTTTATTGCTCCATGCTTGCCTGTAGTGTGTGCATCTCTGTCCTTACAAGCCTCTGACTGTCCCTAGTCTTTGTTTCTTAGGGAAATCGTTGTTTGCTATGCATAATTGGGAGTGGGGGGGTTCTTTGAGAAGACAGGTAGGTGCTGGGCATAGTGCAAGATTACTACCTAGGATATTCCCTATAGAGAATAAATCCTTTCAGAACCCCAAGAAAGGTTCGGACTGGAGTTTTGTGATGTTTTCCCTTTTATCCAATAATTTCCAAAGGGATGGATATTTCTGAGCGCATACACGGAACGCTGTTTCTGTACACCCAAATCAAGCAATGGTCCTTACCTGATTTGCGTATGCAAGGCTTTCCTTCTGTCATCTTGGCACACTAAGTGGATGTGAATCATAGAGTAGTCTTTGGAAGGAGAGTACAGGCCAAGTCTGGCACATTTCATTGGTGTACTTATCATTAAGGTCATCTTGATCAGCTGGGTGACTGTATCTGGAGAGTACCGGGTGGGAACCTGCACTGAGATCTGCAAGTGTCAGTGTATGTGCGTGTTTTGTTATGAAAATAACTAGACCACCACCTAAAAATGTTATTTAAAAAAAACCCAAGTTAAATGTCTAAGAATTAGATCAGTCTAATCTGTAAGGTGTTTGCAGATCAGTGTCATGTTGTGCTGAATTCACTTGGTTTCCTGTAGTCTCACGTCAGCTTTTCATTTCCTCAGAGTACTGGATAAAGACTCCTGTTGTTATCACACCGGTAAAGCACGGGCTTGACACATTCAATGCTAAACTGACATCCACAACTCGTTAGTAGTGTTACTTGGTTTTCACTGTGACATTGGTTTCCCCAAGTCGGAAGCCTAAATAAACTGCGCACAGCCTGGGAGCAATCAACACCAGTTCTTCCCTGCAGAATGGTCTTTGTAGAGTGGCAGCTCCTTGCCTCTTCTTGGTGTGATTAGCGAGACGTGAGATATGAGGACCGAAGCAGCAGCAGAAGTGCTAGTGGAGATCAGAAATTTGCTGTGCTCCCGACAGGAGTGTGGCACGCAAGCTTTTGAGTTAAAATCTGGGTCTCTGCTGGGCTGTGTCCAGAGCTGGTGTATATTGCCAATTCTTGTGTTACTGGTTTAAATTAAGAATGAGGCGTATTTTTCTTTATATATCGTGTTTAAACTTTTGTTAGAGACCACCACAAAGAAGACAGCTGCAGGGATGTGTAAACTTCTGTTTCTCATCTGTTCTTATGTCTCAGTTCTTTTCTCCTGTATTGCTGTTCTGAGAGTCCAGTTTACTGCTTTTGGTGATGGTTGTGAGGAACAGAACTGTCTGTGCTCCAAGTCCATCCTTCCATCCCTCTCACAGTGGGATAATAAAGTTCCCAGATAATGACATCCTAACTTGGTGTCTGAATGGAATGGGCAACCTTCTAGGTGTGGGTTGGTTTTGTTTGTTGTTGTTTTTTGCTTCAGAGCTCTACAATGGGGAATTAGAGGTGAAGATGAGCCCCGTTTCTGGTGAGCCATAGGGGTTCTGGGGTGAGCTGGTCCAGCAGGACGTGCAGTTCTGGAGCAGAGATCCTCGATTCACCATTTGCAGTGGTTTTTCGCATGGATTGTGTCTCACTAGTCAGCTGGAAAAGAAGACTCCACTCCTGGCCATGAGGTTGCAGCGAGTGGTTCATTTCTCCCTCTTCCTTTTAAAAAATTTTTTTAAACCATTAACTTCAGAATTCAATCCTGAAGCGTCTCCAGGGCAAAGCAGAAAATACATTCCGTCTTTCCAACCACATGGATAGCGGGAGTCTGGCTGCAGCCGCTCGGTGAGTAGCACATCACGCCGCTCCGTCGCCGATTGGGTGCAGCAGCGTGTAGCGTCACATCTGATTAGCGCCGTGCCAGTGAATGAGGCTTGAGTGAGGACTCCCTGCCAGCTCTGACTTGTCTCATTTCCTATTACTTTTATCCGTCACCACAAATGCCGAGTCTCCCTCCTGAACTAATTAAGTTTGCGTGTGTTTAGACACATTGCCAAATAGGGTTTAGCAAAGCAGAACTGAGCATCTCTTTTTAAAGAGGGAAGGCAGAGAGCTGAAACAAGGCTGCTCAGATAGGGAGATAGAGCCTCAGACATGTGGAACATCTAGGAGGTATTCCAGGGAATCGCCTCGTGCTTCCTACAAGACTTGCGCTGTAGTTGGTGGCCTTTGCTACCATGTCGAGACCACACAATGGGCATGGAAGGCACTGGGGCAGTTCGGGGGGAGGTGGTGCTGCTTGTCTGCGTTTGGAGGAGTGTGTTGGTGGAAGTATTGCCCAGCAGAAACCCAACTGGGTTCCAGAGGAATTCAGGAAAATGAGGCGAGCGCAGTGCTTACTGGCGTAGGGAGTGGTGACTTGAGGCAGGTCTGTTCGCAACTCTGCTGCTCGTTTTCTCAGCTTCCATAGTAATGACAGCTGCTTGCACAGCTGCCCGCAAAGCAAGCTGTGATGCTCCTACCCAGTGTCTCGTGTGGTTTGGTGTTCCTGTCCTCTGTTCTCCGTAACTCGGCTGTTGGTGGGAAACCGTGCAACCTTGTTCCTGGCTTCTCCAGCAATGACCTGAGCATTTAGTTTGGGTTCCGACTGCATGTGCTGTTGAAGAGATGAGGCACGGTGTCTTGTGGACAGACCTGTCTGCTGTGGGTGTTTCCAGCAGGTGCTGCTGGTAGGTGCCAGGGCACTGGGAGGCACAGTGGGGCGAGCAAGCTGGAGGAGGGGTGGCTGGAACAAAGAGGAGGAATGTACAAGCCTGTCAGTGGTGGATGTGGGGACAAGGTGGGCAGATAGCCCTGTCAAAGCCAGGAGTCACAACATATGCAGCACTCTGAGCTCAAAGAAAAGCACCGGAGGAGCAGCGGTTATCAAGGAACTGCTCTCTGCTGATGGTGTCTAGGTCCATCTGAGCCTGCAGGATTCAAGATGGAAACTCAGCTGCTAAAGGACCTGCGAAGCCTCTGCTCGGCTCGAGGATCTTCAGGGAATTAGGCACTGTGGGCCTGCAGACCTGATTTTTCTTGAATGTTGGAGCTTTCTTGGAAGATCACAGAGCTCTTTGTCTGGCTTCCCTCTGACAATGGGGAGCACTGGGAGAACTGGGTCCCCAGAAGAGGATACCAGGCATCTGGGAAGGGCTTGTGGAGGTTCAGCATGAGTCAAGGTCCTCGGCCGTGCCACCAAAGGCTTTGTCATGGGTGTGGTGCACCATCAGAAGGAGAGGCCCTGTTGGAGGGATTTGGTCGCCGCCAGAGAGAGCACGGTGTGTGAGAGGGCTCAGAAATGGAGCGCTGATCCTCTACTGGCTGTGTTTGGATTAACCATCTCTCAGCGCTCGGTGTGTGCGAACCAGGCTGGAGTCGGGAAGACAGCAGCTCTCCTGCCACCCCTCCCCTTTCCTCTTGTTAAGATGCAATTTCTTTAATGAGGAAAACCTCTTGAGTGGGAACATCACCTTTCTGAAGGCTTGTCCTGACAAGGCAGTTCAAGCCGACAGAGTCGCATATCAACTTCAGCAAATATCAGTCACTCATTACAGAGACTCTTCTCCCCCCCACCTCCCAGCAACACCCCTCGTTCCCAGACAAGGGAATGAATCACACTCCTGCTCTTGAATACATCATGACAAGTCGTGGTTCTAATGAGAGAGGGCCATTCATTCTGGGTGGAAAGTTCCCTGTGTCGACACAGAAATGTTATTAATTAAAGAGAGCTACCTGAAGCAAAAGATGAAAGGAGCACCAGACCTGCCAAGCTAAAATATGAGTGGGGATACAGCCTCGTTAGGCACACGGTCCTCGGGCCTCCGAGTGCTCAGCGGGAGGATTCCTTTAGCCTGTTGCAAGGAGCTATCCTCCCAAGTTTAACAGCTCCAGGGCCGGATGCAGACACCTGGTGTAGTTCACTTCAGTGCTTGGACCTCATCCTGCACCTAGGATGGAACTGTCACTGGAGATTAAGCAAATTGCATTGATGCGGCGTTGGGTGGTGAGGGTGATGTTGCCTCTGAAGGGCTGAGGGAGCTGCTGACTGCAGGAGGCGGTTTTAGTGGAAAGAGGGTACTCGGTGTCTGCCAGGGTTGAGCCCTTGTAATGTAAGCTCTTTAGTGTGGTTTATCTCCCCTGAAATGTCAAATTGCCTCCCTCTGTGTATGGAACCGCTTTACCTGCTCTTAAGCGCAATGTGAATTAATCTTGGCAACCAAAGAAGCGTTTGTACTGTGTGTTCATAGCTATAGAGCTGAGATACGGTGAGGTTAAGTGATGTGCCTGTGGTTGTGCAGGCAGGCAGAGGCAGAGAAAGGAGCTGCAGCCGCACGTGCTCAATCTCAGACCTGCATCTTAATGTCAAGAGCATCAGTTAATACTTATCCTTCCGGTTTTGGATCATTCTGCAAACACATTGAACATAGGTAAACAGGCATGTAGTCTTTCATCTATATACCACCGGCGTGAAGATGCTTGTACTGCACTTACGGTGGCTGATCAGAACATGCTAATTTATGTCTTTACAGGAAAGTACTGCTCAGAAGTTTTTTATTTTCTTAAATAAGTGTTAAAAGGCAAGTACTCTCTAATATAGTGATAAAACACAGTGAAGTGTCTTGAAATGTTTATAGCCCTTGGTGCTCTTCCTAGGTTGCGTATTAGTAAATTCTGAGCAGTAAATTATACCATTGCTTAATTGTATCTCACTGTTTTAATTCTTTCTTTGCAAGTTACACAGGCTGGGAGGATGCTCGCCTTCTCAGACCAGCTCCAAGTGTGGCAATGGGTTGGTCTTCCCAGCTTTCTGTCCTGGAGGCTTGGTTTGAGATCAGCCTTAGGTCATGAATGAAGAAGGATTGATGGTGTTAGTGTCCCTTGTGTATGCTGTTCTTTATCGAAGGACCGGGAAGGGGTTTGTAGCCTCTGCCTGGGGGGGGAAAT